AAGGAGGTATATAAGGAATGGAAGTGAGAGAGTTAGGATGTTGAATTGAGAGAGTTAAGACAGAGATTGGAGAGTTGGAGTGTTATAGAGAATAGGAAAGAGTTAAAAGGAATAGAGCATAGATGATTAAAGAATATTGCTAAAGTGGTTACTGTGAATAAAACACATACAAGCAAACGTGTAATCAATCCAATTTAATGAATGATCCTCAATAACTGTGATTTACATTTGTGATTTACATACCCACTAAAAGATTAATAAACCTGCTGTATTGGCAGCAGGTGTCTGAGATATATTTGGTATAGTGTGGACTAGATCCACTGGTGGCAGTGTAAAAAGAGGAAACGCATCCAGAAGGTGGACTTGTGTTTGGGGAGAACAAACAAGGGACACTGGGAGGACGCGACGAAGTGTTACCTCAATTTTGTTGTCTATGTTAATGTTATGTTAATATTATGATGAATGCTATGCTAGTGTTAAAATGAAAGCCCCCCCTAATATTTTCTCTAATTATAATTATTGACACAGGAATCAAAAGAGTTGGGGAAACAGGACCAGGGATGTGCAGGGCAAACATTTTCCTGTTTGTTTCCTTTCCTTTCTCTCAAGAGAGGCCTCTTTTGTTTTTGTATTTTTCAAGCACCAATCCTTTCAATTTAAACGAAAGGAAAACCTCTTTTATTTTATTTCATTTAGGATTTCCCATTTGTGTTTCTTGACACTTCAAGAGCTCTAAAGCAGTGTTCTCCAACCTTGGGCCTCCAGATGTTCTTGGACTTCAACTCCCAGAAATCCTGGCCAGCAAAGGTGGTCGTGAAGGCTTCTGGGAGTTGTTCAAGAACATCTGGAGGCCCAAGGTTGAGGAACACTGCTCTAAATAACACTTAAATACTACTCCAAAAAAAGCAGAGAGGCATGGCAACAAAGAATCAATCTACTCTAAAAGCAGATAAGAGTACCTGAGAAAGAAAAGTCATCAAAGAGCACACATGGTAATATACTGGAAAAAAAAGTCTAACAGAATAAGGGAATATTTTCCCCCTACACCACTTAAGTATTGTCTTGTCTTCAATTTTTTGTGTCAAACAGGCAGCAGCAAAAATAATCCAATAAAGGAAATAGCCACCCCCCGACCTCCAGACAAACATCAAAGCCCGCCCCCCTCAAATAAATCAGTGGTAAAAAGCCACAATCCCAATGTAGGTACAATGGCACAGACAAACTGCTTGGCATCAGCAAAAATAATCCAAAGAAGGGGGGAATCCTCCCAAATCAAGAAAAATGGCAAGAAAACACTGTGAAGCAAAACAAATAAACAAATCTACTCTTCACTGGGTTCCAAGTCCTTCTACAAATTCAACATTCCCTTTCTATCAGACATTCTGATTGGCTTCTGACATCCTGTTGGTCATACCACATCTTCAGTAGAGCCCTCATGAAGCTACTGGATGAAAAAGACCAACCACCTTGACACACAAAGGATGAAAAAATGGTTAAAAGGTGAAAGATTTGACATAGAAAGGGTAAAGGAAAGTTTACATGAAAGAGGAAAACATGAGTTAACATGAAATTTTCGTGTTCCTCTCTTTTATTAATACAAACCATTTGTATTTTAGAGGTTCTATTTCAGAAACTAATAAAAAATAAAAACAAAAAAGCCTTTCATTTTTTTTCTGTTAAAATATGGAAGTCCCATCCTTAAACAGCACCATGCCCTTATTCTGCATTGATACAAGTTTTTATTTCCCCTCACTGGCTGAAATCCAGGAGTAACTCACAACTGGAGTAGTTCCATTTGACTCACTAGGGATTTGGTGAGTCAACTCCTCTAAACATGCCATTAGTTCAATGGGCTTACTCTAGCTGCAACTTACTACTGCAACAAGTTACCACATCCCTTTGTCAACTGAGATTTAAATGATGGAGGCATAGTGGAGAACTGAACTCCCAACTTCTAGCTCTACAGCCAGAGACCCAAGCCACTGGGCTATTACTGACCACATTTTCTTCTGTGGTAACAGCACTCTATTGACAGTAAACCGAGAATAATTATCTCCTCTGAATTTCTAATATTTCCAATTTCCTTTCAAAATCAGGGACACCTAAAACCACAAAGTCCTGTTCCTTACAATAGCCGAATAAACAAATAAATCAATGAGGATTTTTCCCAATATCATTTTTATTTAATTTGAACATATAAATCTATCAGCTACAAACAAATGTGCAATGTAAGTTAAAATAGAAAAAAAGAAATGAGAAAAAAAGGAAAAAAATCCCCCCTCCCCCTTTGAGGACAGAGATTCAGACCTCATTGAGTCCCATATTTCCCAAGTTTCCAGAGAACATTGAAGGAAAAAAACAACACATCAATCATTTTGCCCTATCCTTTGGTCTGTCCCTGAGCACAAACATATATTAAGTTCTAACTTTATTTTGCATAGTCCCTTGGTTGTTCTCATAGTGCTTCTGAAAGTGTATCTAGTTCTGTAATGTCCAACAGCTTCTTCAGGAACTCCTCCATTGTAGGTACAGTGGGGTCTTGACTTGAGAACTTAATCCGTATTGGAAGGCGGTTCTCAAGTCAAAAAGTTCTCAGGTCAAATCTGCATTTCCCATAGGAATGCATTGAAAACCATTTGATCCGTATCTGCTCTTTTCCGTCCATAGAAACTAATGGGAAGCTGCTATTC